GGGGTGTTGGCAGGCACTTACCTGCTCTGCACTTTGTAGTTCAGGCAGCAGAGCACGTGTCTTGCAGCAAATCAACAAGCACATGTAACTAGCAGACATGCAGACTTGCAAACAGTGCAAAGCAGGCACAAGACTAAAGAAACAGATAATTCTTTTTTTGAAAAAAGTATGATTAACTTTGAACTTTGAATTTAGTAATCTAACTTCATGTCCTCCCCCACTGTCAAGTGGGCCCTCTGGAGAAAACGCTGTATCCTTGCAATAGAGGGGTACAGTTGCAAAAAGTCAGGGTACAGTGGCAAAAAGTCAAAAACCAACTTGATCTGTTTCATGCATCCAAAGACATAACACAAGCAATTCAGCAATTTTCGGGGGACTGGTTGGGCAGTGAGAATGGGGGCTGGATCGCATTCGTCCGATGGGACGGTGAACCTGCCCAGGAATGCAACCAGGACGAGTTCAGGAGAGACTACTTTATCAGCTTCAGAGACTGGACCACGGTGGGACAGGAGATCCCGCTGCGACCATCCACAGATTTTCCTGACCCATTCCCACCCCACCAGCTGGCAATGGTCGACATGCAATGGTACGGTGCATAGTGAGCAAGGCCTCAGGCAACAGTACATGGAAGGCATCGGCGGAAGTAGCCGCTAGGGAAACATGTGTGATCTGGCGGTCTGATGCAGACTGAAGAGGCGGTGTTATGAAGGACTTCCAATTGCTAACCCTGGACAGTTAATCCCCTGGAAACAGGGCAATCAATGCTGGTAGGTTGTCGGATGTACGGAGCGCCCAGGTTAAAAAACATTCACACTTCTCAGTAGATAGAGTCAAAGATAGGGGCCTGTGTGAAACCCGCCACCCCAGAAACCTGCAGTGTCTTGTGTCCGGACCTCTAGGCCCTGTCCGGTGGGGTGAAATGACATTGAAAAATCACCCCGTTATTTTTCGAGGGGCGGCCAGGACCCGATAACCGTCCTGGGCCGCCCCCTTTTTTTTTATTTTCTCCCCAGGGGCCTCCTTCCGGACATCAGGACCAGACACCGGACACCGGACTGTCTGGAACCTGGTCCGGACGTCCGGACGGTTACCATGATAAATAGACAGTTGTCCAATTGTTTTTTGACAAACTGATCATGTCATGAGAATACTCTACCTTCCTTTTTTTTTTTTTTTTTTTCATTATCGTCAGTACTACGGTGTTCTTATGTGATGGTAGAGAGAGCTGGGGATCCTCCGTTCCCTCGTATATCCCTGGAGCCTGTTCCGCCCCGAGGTAAGGTGCAGTATCTCCTGACACCCCCGAAATCCCGTACTAAGGAACTGGTATGCCAGCCTCAATCCTAAGCTACGTACTAAGGAACTGGTATACCCAACCCTGAGCCATGAATCATGGACCGAATCTATTGACGTGTGTTCTATAGTAATCTGTGAGAGCTGGGAATCCTCTGTTCCCTCGTACTATGTCCCTGGAGCCCGTTCCGGGCCTGCGGCAAGGTGCGGTAACACCCCCGACATCCCATGCTAAGGACTGCTATGCCAGCCTGAACCCTAAGCTACTTACTAGGAGGATGACCAGCCCCAAATCATATTCTGGTTCATGTGAATCGTGCAAATGACCTATTGAGTCGTATTGACCTTACGCTGTGAAATGGTCTCTATATATGCTCTGGTGGGCTCGAGTAAACAAGATCACTGTATCTAGACCGAAAGTTGGCCGAAATACAACTATAATGACCGGGCGTTCTATTCGGGTGAAGACGGCAGATGACGGGAAAATTCTCGGTATCCAAGCTAGCGTCGTCCAGTGAATAAACATTCGGTTCTGGACTAGTTTGGAGTGACACACAGGCTAGTCTAGAGTTGGCTTAGGTACTGACACTGCCTACGGTGGCTCTGTGGAAACATTCGGTTCCGGACTAGCCTGGACCATATAATCCAACCATGGAATTATCCCGATAGGTACTCTGGCTGGTCTAGAGTTGGCATAGGTGAGTTGGTACCTAGGGTGGCTCAAACATTCGGTTCCGGGTTAGCCTGGAGTGGCACACAAGCTGGTCTAGAGTTGGCTTAGGGACACTGCCTATGGTGGCTCCGTGGAAACATTCGGTTCCGGACTGGCCCAGAGTGGAACTCGTACCAACTGTAACATCATCTCAATAGGCGCCCAGACTGGTCTAGGGTTGACTTAGGTAAGACATTGCCTAGGGTGGCTCCGTGGAAACATTCGGCTCCGGACTGGCCTGGGAGCATAAACTCAGGACTAATAATAACCAACTGAGGGTGCAAGGGGGGATGGGCCGTAGGTCTAGCCTGGCAGGAATCGGCCCTGCGGCGAACTGGTGCGGGTTACGGAATCGATAACCTTGCCCCCTCAGCATGAACAATAACACAACCCCTAATACGGCAATAATAGTAGGCTACGCTAGAAACATGGCGCCCAGGTTGGGTCAGAACGGCTGTCTCAGGTAAGACCTTGGTCAGGGTAGAACCACTAGGCACTGCCTAGGGAAAGGCTCTAAGGAATATTCGCTGTCTGACCAAGCCTGGGCTGGTGCTCATAGGAAAAAAGACAAAGAACGATCATGCTTGGCGACCGAAGTGCCCGTGCGACAAGGCTCGCTGGATAGTGCTTCAACTAGGGCTGGGAGAGGTTTGTCATAGCCTAGCACTGGTGTCTGCAACCGATGTCCGGTATACCCGAGAGGGCCAAACAAGTGGCCCCGTAGATGGGGAAGCAGAGGTTACGCTAAGGAAGCAGAAAGATGAGGTAGGTAGGGGTGGGTCTTGTGAGCACCCAAAAAAAAAAAAAAAAAAAAAAAAAAGATCACTGCACCTGAGCTAGCGTCGTCCAGTGAACATAATGCACCATTATAATGAATGTACACAATCCATCTTCCCGGTCCGGTGCAGCCAAAATGAGAGTCGGTTGTGTTCGGGGGAGGACATTAACAAGCCTGCAAGGACATGAGCTCCTGATTCTTATCTCCTCACAGGTAGGAAGCAACAATGTCTTAACCTGAGCTCCCAGCTAACTGAATCAGCAGCCTGCCTCCAGTCTCTGAGGACATTCTTCACCGGAATAGAACGCAAAGTCATTATCACTGTGTATTTAGACCAAAAGTTGGCCGAAATACAGCTATAATGACTGGGCGTTCTATTCGGGTCAAGACGGTAGATGAAGGGAAATTTCTCAGTATCCAAGCTTTGTTGAGACAAATGATGCATCGAGCACGGAAGCTGCAGACCCCACAGAATTTTTCAGAGATAAGAGGGTTCTTTCCCCGCCACCCACTGTCACAACATAGCCGGTCCAGATGCAGAAGTGAATTCCCATGTGCGTTCTGAATTGTTTCAAACTTTTTCCCTGTTCAGATTCGATGTTGCCTTTCATAGTAACCATAACTCGACCCATAACTCAAAACCGCTCTCGAGTGCCTGTAACCACGATTGAGTAGTATGGACCACCACATTCCCTCATATCTAAAAATAGCGACTCAGAATCTTCTTGCAACCAAGTCAGCCAGGGAAGATCAAGCTGTGCAGGGACCGTTTCGGTTGGGACAGCTAAGCACGGCCCAAGCAAGGGCGGCGGCAGCACGCAACCCTGTCGCATTTGACCCAAAACAGAACGCCCGATCACTATCCCAGTACAATGACCTCCTTTATTTATATTTGCGTCCTGCAATTCATGGGCATTCAATTTGGGGTAAGCAGTTGGCCCATAGGACCAGGGGGGATGTATTACCATGTCAGTTACACCCCTTTAAAGATGGGTCGTCAGACTGCCACTCCCCAGCCCAGTGCATATATTGTCACACTGTGAATAAGAGCACAAAGGCGAAAAAAGGCAAAACAAGGAAAGGAAAGGAAGGAAGGCCCCACCTGTTCATCACCTCTTACGTACAAGGCCAGCCACGTGGATGACAGGTTGAGCGCTGGCTGGCCCCATCCCCGTGTGTCACAAGGACCCACTTGCACACAGCCAAAAGGCAAAGAGGTAAAGAACAGGAGGAAACCAGACCTCACAGTGGCAAGAGAAAGAGAAGGGCCAAAGAAAAGACAAAGAAGAAAGCAAATGACACATCCCGCAGATAAACCAATTGCCACTGTCACTGCGAAGTTCAACATTTTTTCTTTTCTTTTCTTTTTTCTTGTTTTCTTTTTTCTTTTCTTCAGAAATTTGTGCTTTTTTTCTTTCTTTCTTTTTTTTCTTTTTGTTTAATTTTTTTCTTTCTTCTTTCTTCAACTCCACATCTGTTGGTAAAATCGAAAGCTTTATCTGTCCTACAATTAGTGTTGCTCCTGATCGCTTGATTCTATTGACCAGCCAGGAAGAGGAGCCCCCACCCAGGCAGATAGGACAGGCACGCTGAGGATGACGTGGATCACAAGGATACCCAAGGAGAGCTACTTCAGCACAGCATTCAGCAGGACGGCTAGCACGGACCATCCCATCAAAACAGTCCTGACAAAGGACATCCTGTCCACATGTCAAAAAAAAAAGCAGGACGTTCATCACAGTGTTGGCATCATGCAGTCCTGATAGCGTCCTTGAGCACCAAAGGGACAACGAATATCTGGGTAATAGGGATGTGTACAATGAGGAAATGTTGGACACCCTTCGGCACAGACGGCGGCGGCTGCAATAGATTGATAATGTTGATGGCATAGGTGATGAATTCAGCAGCCAAGACGCACCGCGTCCCTGTCCCGACAGGTGTCACATGAGAGTCAGTCAATTATCCAGAATAAAGTATGATTCGGTAATGCACACAGAAATTCATTTATGTAACTCTAGGCTACCAGAGTGGCCCGGGGTCACTTGCCCGGCCGGGCCAATTAAAAAAATAAAAATAAAAATAAAAAAATTTTAAATTTTACTTTTTTTTTCTAAATTTGGTGCAGAATTTCGATGTGACCCTGAGGCAAAAGTTGTTCAGTTTATTTTTCTGCATAA